CAAACAAATTTGGGTTACTGAAAAATTTATTGAATTAAAAAAGAAAAAAAAATTGAGGGAATTTACAGTGTTTAACTATGTTGATGAATATATAAATGTGTCATGAATTTAGATGAATAAAAGAATTGCTTAAAATGTTGGAAAGTTTTGCTTCAACCTTGTAAATAAAGAAAATTATCATCTTTAAAATGTTCTATTCACCAATATTTGAAAGGTAAATTAATGTGTATCACCCCACCCACCTTATCTATTTGATGATCATTTATGTCTATAGTTATACATTTTTCTTTGTATTATGTATATGCTTACAGGTAAGGTGAGGTGAAAAAGGTGTTCATTTAAATGTATGTGTGTATGCACAAATATATAATCACAAATAACAGAGTGCATGCAAGAATTGCATTCTGGTTGTTGTTTGCTCATGCATGATAGTGATACCATTGTATATAGACCTAAGCATTTCCATATGTCATTGGTATCATTCAGTCATAGACTGCAGTTGCTTAGTCAGAGAGAAACCTGAGACCCATTTCATCCTGCATCCCTCTTTGAGCTTTGCTTTTCATGCACATGTCAAACAAAATCTGTAGAGCATGATTAATTTCTCTTTTGACACAAAATGCTTATTGCAGAGAAAGTTACACTTGATTTGAATTTTACCTTTGATTTTGATTTTGGCTCAAAAATGCATATTACAAGAAAATGGGTGAAATGAGCTTCCAAAATTGCAATATATATATATATATATGTATTAATAATATACTGCAGTGTTTGCTGACTGTTGCATATATATATATATATATATATATATATTTTAATATATGAAGAACATATATATATATGTATATGTATATATATATATATATGTATGTATATATATGTATATATATATAAAAATATATATGTGAATAAATATATGACAGTGGAAAATATATTTTTTGTGTGACACATTTCGGCCTTTATATATATATATATGATTTGTATATATATATATATATATATATATATATATATATATATATATGTATATATATATATGTATATATATATATATATATATATATATATATATATATATATATATATATATATATATATATATATATATATATATATATATATATATATATATATATATATGTTGGACTAAATTTTTTTTTAGGATGTTTGTTGGAGTTAGTGACTAAACATGCACACAAATGCAGGATGCTGGGAATTTTAAATTAAAATTTTGTTTTTTAAAATTAAATTTAAAAAAAAATTGAAACATTAAAAATTCCCAGCATCCCTCATTCATGCTCATGTGTAGTTGGACCAACATAAAAATTTAGTCCAATGAAGTCCTAAGTACTTCATGCGATGGTAAGTAACTGGTGATTAAATGATTTTTAAGGAAATTTAAAAAGAAAGTGTTACGTCTTTTCCGAAAGTTAAAGGAGTGGACATAATGGCAGAATTAAAAATAAAACTTGTGGGTGTGTCTTGATTATCCAATTAAATGTCAAATCTATGCTAAATAGAAGCTCAGAGGGTGTAAGTGGGTGAGTTATTTTTTCATGTCATGATAAACCGGAACATAGACAGGCTATCATTGACAATGGCAGAAAATATGTAAGTGACATATGTATCATAACTGTAGACAAATATGACATGTTCAATTTTTTGAAAGGACATTGAAGGGAGGGATAGGTTAATCAGATGTAAAGTTAACAGAAATTTTTTTTTTTTTTATTATTAATAATACTAACTGGACAGCAATACATAGCAATATTTAAGCTGAGTAAACAAAATAAGGTCATTACCCATAGAGAGTGGCCATTATATACTAATAGATTATGGCTATAAGAAATGGTAATACATAATTTAAAAAAAAAAATTTAACTATATTTTAAGGTAAAAGATAAACTGTGTTGGCAATTTACAGTTAATTCCTTCCTTTAGTTTTGTCAGCAAATTTAATTATTTGTAATATTTCATATAAACTTAAGAAATATGGGTCGTTTAAAGATTTACAAGATTTTCCATTTTACTGTAGAGGTTTTATTAACTTTATTTAAGTTCCAGAAATATTTAGAAAGAGACATCCTATTTCTGTACATGTTATTGATGAAAGATAATATATGTTGCTACCACCTAGTCTTGAAGGAATGCTTGGTACTCCCAATATAAAATTTTTTAACTGTTGGATTTTCTATAGTAGAAATAGTGATTAAATCAACAAGAGAGTCTGTTTGACATTGGTTTTGCAATGAACATTCATTAGAATTTCTAAAATTACACTTGTTGGCATTATCTACATTTGTTTCTTTAGAATGGCAATTATTATTTGAATTGATTTAAAATTTTATTATGTTTTTTAATAATTTTTTCAAGATTATCGGTACAGCTATAGCTTAGTTTCAGTGTATTTCTATTAAAAATCTTACTAAGTGGATTATTTCTGGGGAAGTGTTTCTCAAATGGAGAAACTTCTGCACTAACTTAGTACTAACCATTTGGTTAAATGGTGGTTGTACAAAATGGTTTTTCTGTTTCTATGTTTATTCCTACTATTGCTGTTATGTTTTATATATTTGATGTCAGAGCACTTATAAACCATTATTTTTTTAAGGCACTGTTATAAAATTTACTATGCTTGTAAAAGACATCTTTTTTTTAGGTAATAGCACTTATAAAAATAGAATATCTCTTTCCAAATATTTTGGAATTTAAAAGAAGTTAATAAAACTCCTACAGTAAAATGGAAAGTTTAAAAAAAAAAAGCTAGACTTTGTAAATTTTTAAATGAACCTTGCTTCTTGTACTTACACAAGAAATTGGAAATTATAAGATTTGCTAATAAAAATTCTCTATTAAACCAAAGAAGTGAATTAACTGTAAATTGTAAGTATAGTTTGCCTTTTCCCTAAAAATATGGTTCAACTTCCAATTTGATAGTACCATTTCATATGGTTATAATTAGTAATTTTTGGTAAAGTTTTTTTAATGAAAACATTATCGTCTTTTGAATTACACTTATAGAAATTAGAAGTACTATCTGATTTAACAAAGATCTTTAATTTAGAGTAGGTCTGACACCTAATTGATTAATCAGAGTAAACCCACAAGCCTCATTTTAATTCTGATCTTGTTTTCTCATCTTCTCTTTTGAGAAAAGAGGGATATTTTGCTTTTGAAGTAAATCATAGTCATTTACCATTGCCTGAAGAGGCACAGCTTAGTGCCAAAACATGTCGTTATTGTGTTGCATTGTTTAACATGTTTTTGTTTTAATCTTCTATAATATATATATATATATATATATATATATATATATATATATATATATATATATATATATATAATAAATCATTAAGATACAAGGGGTTACTGAGAGTGAAAAAGAATGAGAAGAAAGGACAATAAAAGAACATGATTCAAAAGACAGAAGATGGTAATAGACATTAGATTTGAAGTTTTGAAGGTTGTAGATGACAAGGAAACAAGAAACCAGTTCTACAGGAGAGAAGTTTGAGAACATGGACTATTAGAATAGAACCTTGGATGTGTGGGTGGTGTAATGGATAAGGCTCAAAATTGTTCATCAGAGAGATGAGTTCCAATTCCAGTTGAGTTTTTATAATCATTTATACACAAATAGCTTTGAGAAAGATCTGAATGCACCTCTTCTCCCTCCAGTTATGGATTAATTAGTAAGACTTGTATCACTAAATCATTATCTCCAAAATAAAAAAAAAAAATTCTTCCAGTCTTAAATATTTTCTGGTTTTAAATAGCTAGAAAATAGTTGATGAGCTGTGAAAAACAAATCCATCGATCAATCAATTGGTAGTGTTCACACAGTCAAAATACCAAGATGGAAAGCTCATTAAAACAAATGAAAATATTTATAGAAAAGACATGGGGAAGCCACATCACAACAGTAGAAAGGTAACTGAAGTTGAGATGCCAGGTTAGGACGGATAGTATTACAGTCCCTTCTTTGGATTTTGTCAAGATATATAACAGGAGCACCAGACCAGCTATGGTGATTATATTTAATGCACAGATGAATGGCAGAATCATAAACATGCAAGATGGATTCTGGCAAGAAAAATTATCTGGCGCAACACAGTGACCCAACATTTCTGGTAGCAGACCTAGTAATTAATTCAATATAATCATTCCACTTCATGTCAGTGGAAAACAGAGACCAAGAAGGCTCAATGAGTTGCTCTCCTGGCGGTTAGCATCAACCATAATGATAGAAAGCAGAAACGGTCCTCTTAGATGATTAAAAAAGAGCAGTTTCAATTCAGAGGCATTAAAATTTACAAACCATTTCTTGCCCCAGTTAACAACTGATTGTAGCTCATTTTTACTTTATTGAAACTTTCAGACTTAATATTAAAACAGGAGTAAACAGTTGTGTCATCAGCATAGATACTGAGTTGAAAACCGATGACATCAGGAAGGTTATTGATAAAGATAAGCAACAATGTAGGCCCAAGAATAGAGCCCTGGGAGACACTCATATTAATATGAAAAAATCTAGGAAAGTGGCTGTTTAACATGACTTTCTGTTGTAGCATACCTACAGATGATAATGGGATGTTTCCATTCACATAAATACAGTAGTAAATACTGTATTTATGTGAATGACATCTATTATTCAATATAATATATATATATATATATATATCAATTACAACTAGCTCAAAAACTATTATGGATGCAATCAGAACCAAAAATGATCCTAATATCAATAATTCTGTAGCAGGCATAGATAAGATAAACTATAACAGATGTTCATTCCAATAATTTGTAGGAATTAAAAAAGATGAACTTATGAATATAAGAAAATAATTTATCCAATGCATTAATTATACACAAGAATAAGTTCAACTATAAATTCAGCTTTTCATAAATATTGTCATTATTAAGAGAGAAAATAACTAAGATGAAAAGATGATGAAAGAACATTCCAAAGCATTATCCATTACATCACCCACACATCTAAGCTTACAGCACCTGGTATTCTCAAATGGTCACCCATCTAGGTACTGACCAAACTCAGTGTTGCTTAACTTTGGTGATCATAAGGGAACGAGTGTTTCAAATAAGCCCTAGTTATTTGGAAAGTGGAAGTTATTAAAACTTGCCTACCTGGCAGTAAACGATTAAAACAAGAACCTCATGAACTCTATTCCAAAACTTTACCCCCCCCCTGTACCACAACACAAGTCTAGGTTTGTTCATTTTTTGACAGAATTTTTTTATTGTTTATTTGTTTATTAAGTTCACGATTTCACTTTAATCTGTTGTTTATGTATTGCAATATCCCAAATCATGAGCTTTGATCAAACCTTTATTTTGACAGGGAAAAAGGACTCATATGACACACACACACACACCGATCACTTAAAAAAGGAGATATTAAAACAAGAATCATTTCCTCTTTCCTTCCCCAACTTTGTTTTTCTGCTATTCTCTGCCTCTTTGGTCTTTCTTTTGGAATTGAAACAGTAAAAAAACAAAACAAAAACTGAAATGGTCTTTGTTATTTCTTTGTTTTGGTGGGTGTTCTTCATTCTGGAGACAGAACGACTCGACATCTCTTAGAATACTAGAAACTGGCACTTGTGTGGGTGATGGACCGTTTCCGCAGTTTGAAGACATAAGCTCCCAATTGTCTCAACTTCTTGGGTGGCTCCTTTTTGGAGTGTACCCACTGTAGGCCACCTAAGCAAACACAGTATAAATCTTGCCATGTGGGTATCATCCAATAACTTTACATTATTCCATATGGCCAAGCAGGAAGTAACTTGCTTGCTTAGTCTTGCTTAAGATTAGTTGACATAACTATTTATTTGATTGAAATTTAATTTTATGTTAAATTCATTGCACCATGTGGATATTTTAAGGTGCAAATCAGATAATTCATTTTTTAACTTTTAAATAATGTTACTTAAATGTCACACATTTTGAAGTTTTTAATCTATTGTATATGTATTTTGCTAATTTTGTACATATTGGCTGTTCCAAAAGTTGTTAAAAATTATTCACTCATTTGTTTTTCATTGCTTTTGGTGTTATGACATTGTTTTGGTTGGAGCCTTTGACAGATCAACTCTGCAACAAAGGGGAGGCTTTTTTTTTTTCAACAAAATGGTAATAAGTAAAAAAATGGTGGCAGATTATATATTGATTAAATGAGCTTCAATCATTCTCAACAACCTATGTAATACAGGCAATTCCATACTCATTTCATATGAAGAGATATTCTTTTTGCATTAAACTTAAATCTTCATTGGTCTGATCTATACATTTGTCTTTGAGGCTAATGTGTATGCCATATACTTTGATTTTCTAACTTCCCAACAATAGTTCTATTTATTATTTGGACCATATCCAACATGTGTTATTCCTATTACTATGGTCTGTAATACTAGACTTTTAGACTTCATCTTTGGATTTTCTTATGTTCCATTGTCTGGTTTTTCCCTTACTATTCACTTTCCCAATGAGGGACTAACTTGCAAAGAATGGTCGTATAATTTAAAAATCATCCTTATATTCACAAATGCTCATAAAATCTATATTGGATTCATTCAGCTGATCATGATAAGTTTACTGTAGCTAAATAATTGATGCTTTTGGGGTTCATCCTGTCATTCATTTTATTCAGAAGTTATATACTTAGTAGACAGATATCTTACTTTCTAGGGTATTGCCTATATATATATATATATATATATATGTGTGTGTGTGTGTGTGTGTGTGTACTTTAATGTTTGATTTTTTAATTCCCAGGGTCAGTAATGATAACATTTGCCCTTTGTTGAAACTATTCCTTTGTGAGCATAGAAAAGATTTTTTTTAATTATAATTACAAATATATTGTTTTTGATGTTTTTTTACAAATATATTGTTTTAGATGCACAACTTCCTTCTTTGAAAGCTACTAGTACATTTCTAAGTCTTTTTTAAGTTCAAAGTTGACTAAGAAACAAGAATGTAAAATAATGAGATCTTGGTGCAAATCTAGTCATCATCTAGGTGTCATGTCCCTTCAGGATGTGAGTGACCATGGCTCTCCACAATTTTCTTTTCTTCAACCTGTCCTGTGAGCATTAGATTTTCCAAGCTGTCTTTTCTCATTATGTGCCCTAGAAATTTCAACTGTTTCTTCCTGTTGTTAAGTATAAGTTTCTTTTTTGTTTCCATTTTCTCATCATTGTTCACATATTCAGTCCATTGTATCTTCAGAAACCTTCTGTAGAAGCACATTTCTGTTGCTTCAAGTTTCTTCTTCATCTTTAAGGAGATTGTCCAGAAAGAACAATTACTAAGTATTTATGGAAAAAGCACAGAGAAGCTATGTTATAGCAGCAGGAAAGTGACCGAAGCTGAGATGCCAGATTCTGTTTTGGATTTTATCAATAATATCTAAATACATAGCAGAATCACCAGACCATTTGAAACAAGCTTTATTAAAGTTATTGGATTTATAAAAAAAAAAAAAACACAGTTTGAACTTATTATGCAGATTAAGCTAATATTAGTTTAAAGCTTCTAACATGTAATAAAAAAAAACAGTTTTATTTCTTTTTTCCATCATATATGCTGAAACATGGGAAATGGAAAGGATCTAAAAATGGACTAAAACAAAAAATAGTAAAGTTATTGAGTAAGAGAATGTCTACATTAGAGTTATCAAAGGAGTTTTGTTGAAATCATTGGACAATAAGGAGGACTATTGAAAGTTGCTAAGTAGAAGCAAAGGAAAAGGCTTTAAGAACTTCTCTTCTTGAAATGAATGTAAACTAAAATGAGCTATAGTTAAACAACCATTCTGGACCTCTGTGCCCATATCTTTGAACAGTCTGGAATTGATAAAACATGCAGAATACTTTGCAAATTAGGATCAGTCAAGAAATCTCTGTATAGAAAACTCCTCTCAGTAAAGCAAATATTTTAAAGCATCAAAAATGGGCCAAGCGATACATGGAAACTGATTTTTCTGAAGTAATTTTCATGGATGAATCTCAGATGAACCTGATGTATGAGCCAAAGGATGGATTTTAACTGATGCAGATGTGCTTGTGGCTAAAACAATGTAGCAAGATAGTGGAAGTATGATGGGCTGGAATGTTTGATTAAACCATTATTGAACCAGTCAAAGTTGATGAAGAAGTTAAACTGAACGGTGCTAACTATTGCCGTTTCATGGACAAGATTTTCTTTGAATGCAACATGTCCTAACGTCACAGTTTCAAAGTGAAGTGTGTATATGGCAGTGTATCTTCTTATGTATCTAAGTTTACCCATGAATTACAGGAGAGAAGATAATGGAAAAGCTACCATCAAGTCCCGATCTGAGTACGACAATATGACAGCAGATAAGGCCTATGGGGAGCAATTAAACCACCGTTATTGAGGTTTATGTGGTTTACATAATAAATTCAGACAGACTATATAAGTAAACAGAATTAAAGTAGAAAAAGTCAACTACATCAAAAAGTCAATAAAATGGTTAAAAAACTAAGAGAGAAAAAAATTTGGATAATTTTGGGATAACCTTGTAATCTTGCTGCTTGCAGTAAGAATTCATTTAGTAACTTATTTCAATAGAGCATTGCCATGTGCTTTGGTTTGTTTTACACTATATCAACTTCAATGGCTTATTTAATGCCAACAGGATTTTTACAGCAGATTCATATGAATGAAATCTATATTTTTTTTGTAAGGAAACAGTTTGTAGATCTGGTTTCATTGATATATTTTGTAAAGAGGGTTGTTGTCAAGAGTCTGCGTTCATTGATGTATTCTTTTCAGATACACAGTTTGTAGAGAAAATGATTTTGACATTTTCATTTAGTTTATAATTTTTGGTAGAGTCCTACTGTTTTGAGAAATGATATTATATCATTCACTTTCTCGAACAGCTTATATATAATGTGAAATATTATAGGTTTGGTTTGTTTTGTTTTATTATTATTTTTTATCAACCTCAATGGGTCATTTAATGTCGACAACTTTTTTTTTCTTTTCCTGGTAATATTTTTGTTTTGTCAAAAATCTATTTCTGGTAATATTTTTTTTCCTCAAAAATGTATAGCTGGTAATATTATTTCTTCAAAAATGTATAGCTGGTAATATTATTTCTTCAAAAATGTATAGCTGGTAATATTATTTCTTCAAAAATGTATAGCTGGTAATATTATTTCTTCAAAAATGTATAGCTGGTAATATTATTTCTTCAAAAATGTATAGCTGGTAATATTATTTCTTCAAAAATGTATAGCCAGCAACACTGTTCTTTCAAAAATGTTTAGCTGGTAATATGATTACCTCAAAAATTCACAGTTGGCAACATTATTTTTTAAAAAGCGTCTTATCAGAGGCTTTGCTGTTGGACACAGTTCATTGTCTTAACCAGGACACGGATGTAGTTTAATGTCATACCCAGGACACTGAAATATTATAGTATTTTTATCTTGAAAGAGCAAGATCTGAGCATGTGATTAATATATGTTTACTAAATATATGTTGTTTTACATGGTTGGCATACTGGTTGATCTTTGTTTAGTAAGTATGAATGGGTTATTCTCATATGGCCAATTCGTATGCAGACTAGTAGCACTTTTTCCTTACAAGATTTTCTGAGAGCTGACTTCCATTCTTCTAGTTTTGCCTGAATTGTGAAGAGTTTATTGTGTGGGTTATCATCCCAGTACCACTGAGATAATGTTGGGAACTAGCTCAATTTCATAAGAATCTACAGTGAAAATAGAGCTTCCCTTTGGGAGGCGCCTTTTTTTGGTTATATTTTAGCTCACTGCTGCACATTCTATCTTGTCCTCACATTTTGACTCATCTATATAGATGGGCCTATGGTTAAGGAAGTTTGCCAATATGTCCTGAAACTTGTCCTGGAATGTGAGTCAGTGTATTTTTTGTTTTGGGATATTATGTAATTTTAGCAGAACTTTGGATTGCTTGATCCATCATGGAATACTGGCTGCAGTTGTTTCTTGTATATTTGAGAGTGTGGTACCTAATTTTTCAGCAATGGATTTCATCCTGAGTACATAGTATTGTATAGCATTATCTTTTTG